ACGAGGTGGCCTCTGCTAGTTGTATGGTACAATCTTAATAACTCTATGTAAATATAACACAGTGTAAAGTGTATGCAGCAGGTACAATAAGTAGGGGGGATGGTAATATAAAGCCAAATTGGTAGGTATTCTTGTCTTTAATCCTTCTATGCAAGGTGAGTGGTAACTGCTATATGTACAAGTATACAATGTCATGTAATAAGAGAAAATAAAGGCAGAAGCATAGGTGTGAATATGTTTGACTCTGAAAACCTGCCAAGAAAATGCCAATAACAATGTAGAAGAAATCTAAGATGGTATAAAGGATTACTTATTGAATAGTTATGAATCAAATGACTGATAGCAGTACATAAGAGATGCATAAAAATAAAGAAAATATCCTAAACACCAAATAAGAAATCCACAAGTAACATCCCTAATTGTTGTCATGAAATAATAATGAAATATATGTAATATATATCTGAGCCATAGTAATGTTCATGGTTTGCTGAATAACATCAAGTAGAGAAATATACAATATTATTAGAGAAAATATACATCTGAAACAAATTAGAAAGTTTCAATAGGGATGTGCTCGAGTACTTCCCTTGTCAATGACCACTACCTTTATCTCATTACTTGCATTTCATATTGTAGGTGGTCCCTGGTCCTATACTACTGGTTTTCAAAAGTATCTGGATACCTTAGCACGAGGACGGGTGAAAGAGATACCAGGGCATCCGGATCCCTTTGAAACCCCGTAGCCTACCTAAATTGACCCTTGGATTTGGCAAAAATAATAAAAATAATAACCTATACTAGAACACTTCGTGCCATCAGGCTCCCCACTAGACCGGTGCAGTTAATGGGTTGAAGTTGCACTAAGACTTGTGCGCCCGGCCCCCCCCCCCCAACCCTCCACACCGGTACTCACACCTACAGCGGGTGTAACTGGCCAGCGCCCTCTAGGTACCGTACGATGCCTTACTGCGTCCATTGAGGAATATCGTTTATAGTAACAAGTATTGTAGGCACGGTCCCCGCATCGCCGTTCACAACCGCCCCGAGAACCGTTGCTCTATCGGACAAGGCTTTTCTATCTAGGTAGCATTATATACACTGTGTAGCTTATGTGTCGCTCGGGTGGGGGGAAGTTGGGCGGAAAAAGGGGCGAGAGAATAAGGCACAGGCAAGAATTTAAACCTCAAGAAAGATTTAATGTAATTGGATGGAAACTGCAGGCCAGCAAACAAGGCCCTCCCAGAACCATGAAATTAAGTCATGGACCAAATACTACTCTATTTTACAAACGGAAACTCACAAACCCTCATTTGCCTATAAAATGAAATAGGTGGGGGGTTTAGGGGAACTGAGGACATAAATCTATATATGTTTTCTCATCTCAGGAATCGAATTTGCTCCCCTGCAAAGTGTCATGCCCGAGGAAAGCTTCCACGAATGATAAATAGAAGAAGGGAAGTAACGGGGGCGATTTCCACAGGACAGTGTCCCCTAGGCTTATAATCGCGCCGGGAGTTGCTGTTTTGCACACTTATGCACTGTACGCAGCAAGTTTCATACGACACTGGAATTCAGCAGTGTATACATGGTTGTCGGGGTGGGCTCCTGCCACCTGCAAGGCCTTGACTGTTTCCTTGTGTCCATTACGTGCCACCCATTCAAGTGCTGAACTCCGCCCAAATCTCCTCCATTGGCGCCACTACATCTTATCCCCTCCATGTAGCTATGATACTCTATTTACATTTTTTTTTTTTGTTTTCATGATAGTCGGTTGGTGGGGAGTCTGGTTGTCATTGCCGAAGATTTTCCAGCCATTGATGTGCAGTTAATTTTGTCCCCGTACAATACCATCCTCACTTGCAGTGGCTTGCCTTCTAACTTAATCCAAACCGCAGTTGGTCAGATCATAGCACCTCACTAATTCCGATTCGAAGATATCATATCAGCCCCCAAGACCGCTTACCCGTACCGCACCCATAGGCCGGGACCCATCCCATAACCTGTTGGGGGGGTGGCCCACTTTTACCATTCCCAAGGAGCGAGGGTGTTGATGCATGAGCAGCTTGTGAATTAGTCCAAATGCTACACTCGAGTACGGGTATCGATACTATAAACATTTCTTCTAAAAAGCCGAGCCTATTACTTACATATTGACCCACATCTTCTTTAGACGAGTGGGCCACCCTTGGCCCACTTCCAGGTTTTCTCAACAGTCTGCAAATGTATACTACGGTGGTGTCTATGATGTCATATTTCTTGGGGAAAGGATTACACGGAGAAACATCGAAGGAACCCACATATTGTGTTGGGTGCCACCCCTACACCAGAAGCAATCGTGTTTTGTGTTTTTTCATCCCAATCAGCGCTTCGGTGCGGGGGAGTCTCCCTGAAAGCAGGTAGAGCACCGTGGGTGGATAAAGGTACGGAAGTGGAAAGGAGAGGAGGGGGGTGCAGGGTGTCGGGAGTTCAAAACTGGGTTCAGATTACCTGTCTGGCAGCCCGGGGGAGACTAGGAGGTTGAGCTTTGAGTGCAATATGGTCCGGATGGCACACCAGCCATATCAGTTTACCTCTTCCGTCAACTCCTCCTTCCGATTAATGACCTTCTTGGAGTGTTCCCATGAAAATAATGGGATAACTCGAGTTCGGCCCGTTCTATCTCGGGCGCCGAGCTAGTTGAGACAGCAAGCGTAGGCTGCCTCTAAAGTCTACAAAGTCCTTGTACCCTGAAACCCCCACATTGCACCGCAAGATCACCAGTCTGGAATCCGGGTCAACTAGGAGTCAAGACTTACCTAGCTTGCATCTAGACCATTCGAGGCACTTCCGAGAGCATGCTTCTCAGCAGCTCCTGATTTACAATAGGAATTGGTGCAATGGTGCAACGCGATAGACTATGGTGGGGATTAGTTACTGTAAGCCAGAGGTCTGGTTAGCCCCGGTATTGCCAAGCTACCATTGTCTACCAAGCTGAATTTGACACCCGGTACCGTAGTTGCCTTTTAACAATCTTCCCCCACTCGTGAAATCTCAGGAACTCGATTCTATCTCATATACTCTTGTTCAATCAGGTCCGAGATTTAGTGGTCATAGGTGGGGGTTTTATTCGATTTATTAGATATTCTGGGACGGTCACACAGTCCTCGAGGATAGCTGCGAGGGCACTAGCCTACCAGCCGCTCCAATCTTAATGACCGTGTTGATGGGAATCGCAAGGTGCTGCTCGGCATTCTCTCCTGATAGTATGCTTTCTTAGTTCGAATAGCTTTGGGAATGCGATTTGGCTTTTCGGGCAAGCACTTTGGCTGCAGGAATGCACAGAAGTTTTGGGTCAATGAACCGCCGGAAGGAAAGTAGGAGGGCTGTGAGGAAGGCCGGAAAGTCAGATGTCTGGAGCCTATGGATATTGGGAGTTTGTCTTTCCTTTGTTGGGGGGAGTCCAGGCCAAAGGAGGAGAGTAATACGAACAATGGCATGGAGATGTGTGGTAGTCCATGGAAGGATAAGAGGACTTTGTGCTTGATATATACTCCTGTCTTCACCGTTAGTTAGTTGGGAGGACAGGGGAGAGAACTTCCCCGCTCCTAGCTTGTACCATCATTTTCGCGTGTGATCTTGGGGTTTCGTTTCGCCGTTGCTGTTGTTTCCGTGGACCAGCGTTTAAACGGGGTAGCCATAGCTTGGTCAGTGAAATAGGGGCGCCGAATGCGACATCATGATCGCGGAAACAGTGCCAATTTCGTATCGTATTCGAGTGAACAGAGTACCTCTTTCAGCTTCCCCTCCACCAACACCTTGCCAAGTGATATTAGAACCCCACACTAGCGAAACCGCAATGAATTCCCATCGCTGTATTGATCTGCCTAAAATAAGACGAAGATATTTCAACCAGTCCTGCCTAACTCGATCTTTAATTGATTCCAAAAATTTATACCTGAAGCTAACCTTTTCCACCGGGAATGTTTCGGGATTGTAAAGTAATGGTAAAGCGATGGAAAAGGGGGGGAAGAAGTCTAGGCTCATCTGCCGACAAGGCCGTGTTTAGTTATGTAGATCCAAAATGCTTGAACTTCAATATTATGTCTCACTATCTTCTCTTGCTTCACCTCTTCATCAATAGTCAATCATACCCCCATCCACCCAAAATTGCTACACAAGAAACCCCTGAGGATCCTAGCCTCATGCAGGACACTAGGCGGATATTTCATATTCCAGGAGTACGGTGCCTGCATATATGATGGCATAATCCCAAAAGCAAGATATGAGGGAGCAGGTGTTATGCAGATGGAGAGATATATGGAGAAGCGCATATGTGGATGTTAGGGGCAGAGAGTGTGAGCCCTTGCTTGGCTGTATGACTGTTCTGTTCTGTTTGTTTGTTTGTTTGTTTGTTTCTGGGAAGATTGGCCATCTGTTTGGTGGCTACCTTCTCTTCTTTGTATTTTAGTCTTCTTGCCGTGCTTCTAGAGAGGGACAAGAACGACTCCTCTCTCCTCACCTTCGGTTCCGCCCATATCGTAATTGTCCACCTCCACCGCAATCAGCCCCGCTATCAATATACGCTGGATCTCTTTTAGCGCAAGCACAGCGCTCGTGCCCTCATCGCATTGATATTTGGTGACCGTTCACTAGACTACAATGCGCATTGTTCTTAGAACTTTCAAAGGTTGTATCATACCAAATGAAGGAAATAATGCGGTCGTCGGTGCTGCCAAGCCATTTGCCCGATTTCCGGATACTTTTGAAAACGGCAAGTAGCTAGACCTTTCTTTTCTTCTTTCCTTTCCTCTTCTTCCCTTTCCTCTTCTTTCCTCTCCTCACCTTTTTTTATTTTTTTATTTCTTTATTCCATAGAACTGAAATACTCAACTTTGGTGTTGCCAGTCCTTTTTCCCACACACACACAAATACTGCATCGGTACAGCCAAGGGTCCATTTTTGTTCTACCTCCTTCTCTTATCATACCCCTGTTAGCTACACTAAGGTGCTGTTACCGCATTTGGGTGTTGCCCGACTAACTGCACCCCCCGAATACAGCGCCTAAATTTTGTAGGTTCCACATGTGAGGTTTGCCGCCCTTAGCGCCTGAGGAAGGTATCATACGGGCCTTAGAAGCTGTACCTCCATATGTGTTAGGCATGACCGCATGTAAGAGTCACATTGACTCATATATGCGACCGTACAGGATAAGCGAATCGTGCATTTTGACAAAAGTTCCCTCAGTTTTCTCAAACATTCTCGCACTCTCCCCTTCCACCCATTTCCTTTTCCTCCTCTATATTTGCGCGGAAAAAAATCCCCCCAATTTTTTTCAATCTCTTCCCCCCTCCACATCATCATTTTTCCTTTTCCTCTTCCGCCATTTTTGCACGGAAAAAGCTTGCCTTCAGTTTTTCCGCCATCCTCTCAACCGCCAATTTCGCCCTTTTCCTTCTCCGGTTTCCGCGTCTTGTCATAGTTTCTAAGCCCTCATGGCACCAGATGGACTTTCCAAACTACTCAGACAAAAGGAATATCTGGTGTTAGATATTCCTCCTGAGGACTTCCAAAGATATGTGGAGTATATGGGAGTTAGAGCGTCTGTGCCGACAGCCATTGAATCAGGAAAATATTTGCTGACTACTCATAGATACACCTACCGCCCTTCGCTTGGGAAGTTAACACTAAAAATGTGTACTCCTATGCATGCCGCTGTTGCATATTGGGCAGGAGAATTGATCGCAGAGGGGGTAGAGCAACAAGCTTTCGACCGCGGGGGTCTCAGACCGATTTCTGAGGAGATGAGCCTATTTGTAGGTAAATATCGAGACGTGTAAGATGAACTCTGGCTTGTTGAGGTGCTCAGAAGATGTAGCTCATATACCCTTCTAGGATTAAAGCACCTGACATCGCAATAACACCCACGGGGCGCTTCCGGCCAACAATTATCTTTGAGTTCGGCTATGCGGAACCCTATGACCACCTGAAAGCCGACATGAAGCTCCTATTAGAGGGTACCAAAGGTGCAATTAGTAAAGTAATACTAATCAAGCTCGATCCCCTAAAGGTTGGCGAGACCAAAATTAAGAAAGGTTTTGTGGAAGTGTGGCATTTTGATGATGGGAAAGTGAAGCAAAAAGGTCGGAGAGAGGTAACTTGATGAGAAATGCAGACTAGAGGTTCAAGCTCTGATTGCTAATAATTGAGATGTAGAAGCTATTTCCTCCTCCTCCGAAAAGCCAAGCGAAACAGATGCTACAGTTCAGCATGGGTGATATTCTTCGTAGCAAGTTTGGTGCCCTCGCGAACGAGGGGTGGGGAAAAAGCGACACCCTTAACCTCCGCTTTGACATCCTGAGGGAGGCTATCACGGAAGCAACTGTGCGTCACCTTATCAACAAAGGTGTGTTACCGGAGCCGCCAGATGATGATGAAACTAGAGATGAGGATGGAGATGAGGATGGGGGTGGGGGTGAATATGAGGGCGGGGATGGATGTGGGGACTGGCACGAGGGCGAGGGTGTGGGCGAAGATGAAGATGAAGATCAAGACGAATGTGAAGATCCAGACGAGGGTGAAGGCGAGGATGAAGGTGAGGATGAAGGCGAAGAAGGTGAAGATGGAGATGAAGATGAAGATGAAGATGAAGATGAAGCTGGAGATGGAGATGGAGATGGAGATGGAGATGGAGATGGAGATGGAGATGGAGATGGAGATGGAGATGAATATGGAGATGGAGATGAAGGCGAATGTGAAGATCAAGACGAGGGTGAAGGCGAGGATGAAGGTGAGGATGAAGGCGAGGATGAAGGCGAGGATGAAGGTGAGGATGAAGGCGAGGATGAAGGTGAGGATGAAGGCGAGGATGAAGGCGAGGACGAAGGCGAGGATGAAGGCGAGGATGAAGGCGAGGATGAAGGCGAGGATGAAGGCGAGGATGAAGGCGAGGGCGAAGACGAGGGTGAGGACGAGGGCGAAGACGAGGGTGAGGACGAGGGTGAATACGAGGGTGAATACGAGGGTGAATACGAGGATGAAGACGAAGGCTAAGGCAAAGACGGAAACAAAGATGAAGCCAAAGACAAGGGTGGGGGGGGGGGGTGGAAGATAATGATGGTAAAAGATCCAGGTGAGAGCAGTGATGGGGGTAAAGATATAACGTGCAAGTGAACAACGTGGTTGTAGCACTTCGCAATGGATATTAATGACAAAAGATTTGTATTTGGTGATAGAATTTTTAGATAGGCATTAGCTTCGCGGAGATGTTGGTTTAGCATGCTCTCTCAATTCTGATCAACAGGTACTCCGATACCATCTCTTGATCGCCCCTTGTTTTTAACTTAGAGTCCCTCGTGCACTAATATCATATCTGTGTTCAAACAGTGTCTTTATTTTTTATAATTTTACTATCCTTTCCTTCCTCTATTCTAGATATGCTACTCCTGCTTAACCTTACTTGTTTTTCTATATTTTGTTAGATCTTCCTACTGCCTCAATTATCAGGCTCCACATTCTCTTCAGTTCTGTATATCCACTCTTAATCATACTTCGATTATAATATCATACCTCTGGCCGCTCATTCTACAGTATTCCCATCACAACTTGGGCCAAAATCTTATCCCTTACCTGGCAATTATCTCCCATGCCCTTCTCAGGTCTGCGTATACTGATTGTGTAATTATACTCCTAAATGAATGCACCCCACTTACAGAGACTTCAATCAAACAACAATCGGAGCGGTCCCATATTTCACAATTCGCTTAGTATACAACACTTCACAGTATGCATGCGCCATCGGTAATATCCTATAGTGAAACCCTGTTGCCGGTAGACTTAACCAGCGTTCTCGCATCAGATCCTGAAAAGGTAATCACGGCCGCGGGAACCGCCGCCGAGCCGGGGGTGAGAGATCACTAGATTCAGAGCTGTCAACCTTGTGGAATTTTCTCGGTCCTGTATTTGGATAAGCATTGGATGCCTCAACAATGGACAATCATTTTCGGTCCCAATTTATTATTCTAGAAATTGCCGAACCGGTATACTACTCGCTGGTTCATTTGCTATGCGGACGGTTTTCGCTTTCTTCGTCATGGAGGGTTAGAATCAACTGCTGTATAGTGAGAGATCAGTGGGTTAGGGTTGTGGACTTTCCGGATAGCGAATGAACCAGCTAGTAGTAGGTCCCTCTAATCCCTTAAAAACCAACAAATAATAAGACTATCATACCAGAGGCAAACATTCCTCGCAGCTACCCATCCCAAACATAAACCTAAAAATTACGACCAAAAGGGTTCACCGTTGCTCATGCAGGTGACATCCTGGATTCACGCGTCCCCCCACCTCGCATCCCCACCCCCTGCTCTCCCCCATACAAACACATAACTCATATCCTAGACATATCGAAGACTCTGTCCCAATAGTCCGCACATCTGCGTGAGTGTCTCGATATCCTATTTTAATCCCTGTATGTAGCGTCACGAGCAATGCACCTGGAGGTATCTCCTATCTCGTCCCTGGCCCAACTCAATACCAGCGCTGTTCGATATCCTAGAGCCAAGCTTAACTACTGGTTCCACCTCTCCATCTAAAATTGGTGACCCAGGTGGTGTGGTGCTCCGGCCATTCGGGCAAGTGTGTGTTGGTGTCGCTGGTCGGCTTAGGGCCTAGCATGGCCAATGGTCGTCGACACAACCGGCAAGGAGAAGAATTATCATACTGACGTTCTCGACAAAAGCCACTTAGAGGGTCTCATGTTGGAGGGCAATTGACACGCCTTTGACGTCTGCCTAGAGACATCGCTGGCAGGGCATCAGGTCAGCGATCACCTCCACATCCCCCCAGCTATTCCCTACCATTAACCTCCATTCGGATGGGTTATCCGATACTACCCAGCAACCATTCACTTTTGAAATATGTCGCAGGATGCCGAATATAAGGTGCCGGTAGATGTTCCACCACGACTTCCAAGCGAGTACAAATGAGTCCCCAAACTACCCGCCGGTAGCCATCCTATTTTATCCATACCGGTTACACCCCACCCAATGGCCCCGGCCCTTCTTCCCGTAGCAATTATCATGCCCGATAGACCCAGTATCAGTACGTATCCTAACCAGAATAGAGTGACGGATGCAGATGGGAGCTCGGGAGTGTCGCAGCGTAGCTGGTGGCCAGTGCTAGTCTGTGTCCTCCCGTTCCGCGCCAATTTATCACTCCGACCCCCTCATACTGCGAGGAACCGTACCATGCCCAATTTCAATGCACACACCTTCCCATCTAGGTTGGTAAAGCGGGGGTGAAACAAAGCCTTTGCCCTTAATAGCCATCATCGCATCGCCACAAATGGTGTTGTGACTTGGAATCCAACAGGTCAAGACCACTCCCCACAGATCCGGCGGAGGTGAAACAACGGACAGGCCCGCCGAGTTTCCCATCACGTAACATCTGGTTGATGAGTAGTATGGCGGGAAAAGTATTCAAAGAGTTGTGAGCCACATGATTGCGTGGTAGCTTAGTTAGACACGGGGGAGTTGAAATCACAGCCAGCAATTTGCGTTCGACAATGCTCTCAGCCGACCAAACCGGATACCCGACGGTGCCTTTATGCAAAACGAACTTGAGCATACTTAATATTACATCCGGTTCCAGTATAGCAACCGAGAGTAGGAACAATTATGTCCAAGGACTGCAAGAAGCCTACTACAAGGTGATTGTGTACAATAGACCTCTCGCCCTTCCTCTACCCTTTGGTAGGAAAAGGTGCAGTGTTGTAGACCGTGTTGTAGGATGGTGTATACTAGGCCTTGATGCCATCCAGTTCCTATTGCATCGAAACTCCATAAATCCCGGATAGTTTGAACAGCACCGGCAGCCGACCTACGCCAATAGGATTTTTTCTTGCAGCCCCTGTGTCAAACACACAAGACACACGGGACGTAAACTATTAATTAGGATGTAGGTATTACGTTCCAATAGGCTTAACTACATATATCGTAACACGACCACCCCCGGTGAGTAGGAGGGAAATGAAAAATGAGAAAAAAACAGAATGCCAAAAAAACAAAAAGAACCAAGGATTTCCGGGAAAATTGGGAGTGATAGGGTGTATATAATAAGATATATAAACTAAAACCTTGTCGTGACCACGGAACCATTTCCCGCTACGGATTAAGCTCCACTATACCCAGTAAATAGGACCTCATAAACTCACCCCCCGGAAATATCAGAAAAATCCCGATGGAGCTTCAGGCAGATGTGGTGTGCCTTATATGCGTATCCTCACTTTCATGAGATTGCCTTCGCCTGCAGAGGGTGATGTCTAGAAGTGACCTCCGCGAGCAATCCTCCGAAAGTGGAGCATGCATTGGGCTGTCACTAGCGGTGAGTTCTGATGTCACTACGCGAGATTTTGGTGAAGGTGAAGGCGAAAGACGTACCATATTCGCGGAAATAATAATTTACGAAAGTGGCACTGTTTCCCGGATCCTCATGTCTCATTTCGTATTCTCGTTTCTTTGCCCCATGCCATGCCTACATGGTTGTTAGGATTGAAGCATCCGGTATGCTAGCATCCTCGCAGCTATCCTCAAGGACTACGGGGCCGGTTCGGAATCTTTAATCAATCGAATAAAGCTCCCTCCTTAGGCCGCTGAGGATAGGAGATAGAATCGGGTTCATAATATATCACTCGGCGATAACAACTGTTGAAAGGCAACTACGATGCCGGATGCCAAATTCAGCTCGGTAGACTATGGTAGCTAGACAATAGCGGAGCGAACTAGACTTCCGGCTTAGAGTAACTAACTTTGCCGGAAATCGCGGGGTGCTGCTCGGGATGCTCTCACGATGGTTTGTTTGTTCGGGAGCGCGCTATGGCTTCTGTCCGCGCAGTTCGGCTCTTCGGGAAAGCACTTCGGTCTCGAGAATTTGCGGGAGTCTTGGAGAAGCGCATCCGGTGGAAGGAAGGCACGAAAGAAGGAAGCGGGAAGGTCATAAGGAGGGCCGGAGGCGAGGGAGCCGAAGTTTATCTATTCTTTGTTAGCTTTTCCTGTTTGCTAGTGTGTGGGAGACGTACCTGGGGGGTTAGGACTTTGTCGTTTTTTGTGCCGTTGATATATACTCTTGTCATTACCGTTAGTTAGTTAGTCATGAGAGAGAGTGTGTGCGCGATAGTTCAGAGAGGTTGGCGAAGTGAAGAGTTTCTCCCCCCCCCGGCTCAACGTCTTAGGGTTAGGGCTCTCGAGGGGATCACCCGATCAACGCCCTTGGAGTCTTTGGCGGTTTGGCTTCATGTCTCGTGCGGATTAGGCGGCAGGGCCTTTTCCATCGGTTTTCCATCGGTTCCGACGGCGGTTCTTGATCCGGTGATGAGGCGAAGGGCCACGGCCCCTGCCGAGTTGTTTTGGCTGGGCGGCGGGGTGAATTTCGCCGTTCAGGGCTTGCGGAACCCCTTCGTTGGGGTGTCGCTTTTGTTCGGACCCGGCAGGGGAGCGGGGCTCACGATAGTGTTGTGGCGGTGCGGTGGCGTCGCAGAAGGCGCCTGAGCCATGTGGCGGAATGTGGCTGAGCCCGACCGTCACTGTTGATAATTGGTGCGCCCGATGTGGCGTGTGGGGGTTGGGGGTGACGAGCGGAGGGCTCATGCGGGGGGTTTTTGACAGCGTCCGTGTCACCATGTATTGATTTTTATTTTGTTTTGTTTTTGTTTTTGTGAGGGGCCGGGAACGGCCATGACTCCCTGGTTTGGGCTTCGGCTTGGGGCTGCCTGTCCACCTGTTACCGGATGGTTCAGGTAAAGATGCAGTCTTCCTACGAGTTGTGCGGGTGGTACAGTCCCAGATGTAGTGTGGTTTGGTCGGCATTTTGTGTTTGGTTGGCTTACCTGATGGACCGTAATGCCCCGAGCTGGTTACCAGGATTGGGATATGGCTTGTAGTTAGTTTAGCTACGAATGTTATGGTATTAAATGTAAGTTGTGCGATCGTTTCACGTGAGTGATCTTGGCGTTTCGCAGACCATCACTCGTTTGGTTTCATACTGCCCTTCGCTCGGCC